GGAACTAAGAGCATCTCTCCACGGGGGGCTCGAACGGGCGGCTGAGGAAGCAGCACTTCCGCCCATTGGTCACAACCGACCTCAGTGCTTCCTGGCCCCGCCCACACCCAGTCGCCTGTCACTGCGAGAGCGACAGCTGTGTTATCTCGTGGGCACCTGAGCTTCGGTCTGGCCCGGCACCGGCCTGCGGAGGAGCCGCATGTCTGTGAGTTCTAGACTAGCAGGGAGACGCCTTCGGCAAATCCACATTTCCACCCACATTTCCATCCACATTTCCATCCACATTTCCATCCGCCTTCTCAGCCAGTCACTTAGTCTTGAGCCGGAAATTTCAGTTAAGCTTGTCTCCCTCCCCTCCCTCTCCCTCTCCCCCCTCTCCCTCTCCCTCTCTCCCTCCCTCTCCCTCTCTCCCTCCCTCCCCCTCTCGCCCCCTCCCTGTCCTGGGAACCAAGAAGTCAAGCATATGAACCAATGGGGGTGGGGAGTTCTCATTCAAACCACTATAATGAACAACTTCAGAAAAGTAAGTTCTCTCTCTCTCTCTCTCTCCCCTCTCCCCCCTCTCCCTCTCCCTCCTCTCCCTCCTCCTCTTCTTCCTCTCCCTCCCTCCCTTCCCTGATTTCTCTCTCTGTCTCCGGCTCCCTCTCCCTCTGTATTTGTGTTTCTGTCTGTGTGTCTAACCCCCCCATCTCCCTTTGTTCTTTCTTTTTTAAGGGAGGCAAGGAAGGAAATCTCAGCAAAAATAATTCGGCAAGTAACTAATTAGCAGCTGCTTCCCCGCAGCTGCCCGCGCAAGGATTGCCCCGTGCTACACTTGTTTGTTACTTCGGTTTACTTCCAAAACCCCATCGTGACCAGGGCCTTTTCCCAACTTCAGTTACACAGGCTTTAAGGGTTGATGCCTGGCCCAAGTGTTTGTGTCCCCATAGCTGTAAACCTGACTGACTGCTGGATGTCGATACTGAATGGATGTATTAATAGACACTATTACCTAATTGCAAAAGCCAAGCGCCACGTCCCCATAATTATATCCCTCTAAATAAATGATAAACCCATTCTCCCAGGAGCTTAAACTTTGAGGGCATTCTTACATAGCTATATAATTCATCATCAAATCCTGTTGATTCTACTCTCATTTTTTAAACTTTTTTTTTAAAAAAATTACTTTATGCTGGGTGATGGTGGCCAACGGCTTTAATCCCAGCGCTCGGGAGGCCGAGGCTGGCAGATCTCTGTGAGTTCCAGACCAACAAGAACTGGTTCCAGGACAGCCTCCAAAGCCACAGAAAAACCCTGTCTCAACTCCCCCCCCCCAAAAAAAAATTACTTTATGTGCGTTTGTGTTTTGCCTGCCTGTATGTCTGTATGAGAATATCAGATCCCCAGGAACAGGAGTTAGAGACAGTTGTGAGCTGCCATGTGGGTACTGTCAATTGAACCCTGGTCCTCTGGAAGAGCAGACAGTGCTCTTCACCCGAGCCATCTCTCCAGCCTGTATTCCCTTATTTCTGGAACCTGACCATCACTCCTGTTGACCACAACTACTCTTAATCCAGCAAAGGAAGGCAACAGGGAGAGGATAGATGAGTTGCCACTGAGGGCAAGCAGACCAAGAACACTTTTCTCCTTTCCCACCTGTTTATCTGGGCTGTCACCAAAAGATGCCTCTCACATTTAGGGTGGGTTTTTACCACTTAAAAAGAAACTGATCAAGAAGACCCCTCATGAAAGTGGCTGGTAGCTTGCACTTTAGTTGATTCCAGCCAGTTATAGTCATGTTGACAACCAAGACTGGCCACAGGTTGCTTTTCCTCGTAATTCTACATAGTCTCACATCCCTCAGCTCACCATTGCTCATTATTGACTTTATTCTTCATCACTGTTATTGACTGAACACAACAAAACTGTTTTTCTTTTAATGTCAAGAGCTCCTTTCACTAGATTGAACCTCTGGAACAACAGCACTTTATTGACAGGAATCATTTGTTTTATTTTTGTTTATTTTACACAGAACCTCACCATATAGATCAGGCTGACCTGAGATCATCCTACCTCTGCCTTCTAGGTGCTGGGAGTAAAGGCTTGTGCCAATACCTCCCAGTGTCCTCTGGCTTTTTAGCCACATGGTTTGTTTTCTTCAATGAGACTGGCCATTGTAACTAGAAATGTCAGATCAACTGTCTAGGCAATCAACTGTCTAGATATAGAATAATTTACTGCATAGATTTTTATGAATTTCAATTGTTTCTTAATAAAAAAAATATGTGTGTGTTTGTGTCACTGAATGCCATTTGTCTGCCAGTACTCGTGGAGGGCATAGGATCCATGGACTGGAGTTACAAACCATTGTGAGCCTAGCAACGTGGGCACTGGGGACTGAACTCTGGGAGGACAGGAGCACTCCTAACTACTAAGCTGTATCTAGCACTGCCTCGTACTCTTGGCCTTTAGAACATAATATATAAAGTAGAATAACATACAACATGGAAGTAGAATTTTATCTATTACAACATAACAATGGAAGAAGAAAAGACTTTGGCTAATGTTTTCTTTTATGAAGGAATTAAGTGTTTTTAAAGGGAATGCCCATTGGTTCTACTGACTCCTCCTAAGACTGTGTGTAAATCCTTTCTCTTACCTGTAACTCCTTAGGAACTTGCAGATGTCTCAGCATGGTTGAGATAGAATGGGCCGAGGCCCAGCTCTCAGAGTTAGACCTCCTGGCCAGTATGTTCCCTGGTGAGAATGAGCTCACAGTGAATGACCAGCTGGCATTAGCAGAGCTGAAAGACTGTATTGAGAAGAGGACAATGGAGGGACGGTCATCGCAAGTATACTTCACCATCAATATGAACCTGGACTTCTCCGGGGAAGCAATGGTAATCCTGTTCTGCTTTGGAAAGACCTAGAGCATGTCAAGACTTGAAAACAATGCTCACAGCATTTTTTTCCCCTTCTCTTCTCAGGAGATGTTTTCTCTGTCTTGCATTCTTCCCTTTAAGTACCCTACAGTCCTGCCTGAGATTACTGTCAGGTATGTTACAGAGACTGAGTCCACTGTGTGGCTCAAAATTAATGTGAGAAGAAAAGTAACTCTTGGATTTACTTCATTTTCCAAGAAAACTATTTTTCCCCCTTTTGTCTTCCTTCAGATCAGCATCGCTGAGTAGATCCCAGCAGACCCAGCTGAACACAGATCTGATCGCATACCTGCAGAAGAACTGTCTTGGAGACGTCTGTATACTGAACGCCACAGACTGGCTTAGAGAGCATGCCTCTGACTATGTCAACAGAGATACCTCACCTTCCCCTGCCAAGGAAAGCCCAGCCCAGCCCGTGGATCTCACCCTCACCAGGCTCTGGATTTATAGCCATCACATCTACAACAAATGCAAAAGAAAAAACATTCTGGAGTGGGCAAAGGAACTGTCCCTGTCTGGGTTTAGCATGCCTGGGAAACCTGGTGTGGTTTGTGTAGAAGGCCTACAAAGTGCTTGTGAAGAATTCTGGTCAAGGTGCGCTTTCACCTGTATTAGATACCATAGTAATTATAATTTGAAAGAGATATTAGAGTTGTAGAAATAAGTATGTCCCAGGGGAAGCATCTTCATGGGGATTTAGTCTCGAGTGGATGGTAAGGCTGAAGTCACATGTAACTGGCATTACCCTCCTCACCTAACACAGTACACACTCTGAATACATGGTGAGTAAACCAAACCCTTCCCCTGATGCTGGCTAGGATCTGTCGGTGTCCATGAATGTAATGACTATGATGATATCATTAGAATGTGATGATAATATGTCCCTTATCTAATAACGAATATGATAAACTTTCAAACTATGACATGGGGATCTTTTCGAGGATTAGGATAGCCACTCTTCTTATTCCTCTATTTAGTTTCTGAGAAGTTCCTTAAGCAATTTAAGAGTCAGCAATCTCGACAGTTCTAAAATATGTGTTGCAGTGGCCGAGTTTGTAGCTCATTTGGTAGAGTGCTTTCCTAACATGCACAAGGCTTTGGGTTTGATCCTTAGCAAGATGTACACCAGGCACAGAGGTAGGGTCACACAGAGTTCAATGCCACCTTGGCTACATATCAAGGTAGAGGCCAGCCAGAGGTTCACATTGACTCTCTCACTAAATAAATAAGTATTAAAAATAAAATTCTTTTTTTTTTAAAGATTTTATTTATTATATATACAGCCTTCTGCCTCCATGTGCCCTGCAGGCCAGCAGAGGGCACCAGATCTCATTCAAGGTGGTTGTGAGCCACCATGTGGGTGCTGGGAATTGAACTCAGGTCCTCTGGAAGAATAGTCAGTGCTCTTAACCTCTGAGCCATCTCTCCAGTGCCCCAACATCAAATTCTAACGGAAGCTGGTGAAGATGATAGTACATGAGAGTTCAGATGGGATCATAACCAGAAGCCTCTGTGGGCTGGAGAGACGGCTCAGGGGCTAAGAGCACTGGCTGCTCCTCCAGAGGTCCTGAGTTCAATTCCCAGCAACCACATGATGGCTCACAGCCATCTACAATGGGATTTGATGTCCTCTTCTCAAATGCAGGCATGCATGCAGACAGAGTAAAAGAAAAACAAAGAATATAAGCCCCTTGAGATTACCTCTGTATTTACAGAAATGTAATGGTGAACGTAAACGTTTTTTGTTGTTTTGTTATACTTTGTCTTGGTTTTTTAAACAGGGTCTCACTATATAGCTTTGGCTGGTGTGGGACACAGTATGTAGACCAGGCTGGTCTTTAGTTCACAGAGATCTCCATTCTGCCTCCCAAGTGCTGGGGTTAAATTCCTGTACCACTACTCCCAACTCTGAAAACTGTATCTTATAAATTCTACTTTGAAAACCTGTTTTTCAGACTCAGAAAACTAAACTGGAAGAGAATTTTAATTCGCCATCGAGAAGACATGCCTTTGGATGGCACAAAGGATGGAATGGAGAAACAGCGGCGATTTGCCAGTTTTGAAGAAAAGGTATTCAGTGTCCATGGAGCCAGAGGAAACCACATGGACTTTGGTCAGCTGTATCAGTTCTTAAATGCCAGGGGCTGTGGGGATGTTTTCCAGATGTACTTTGGTGTGGAAGGACAGTGACTGAGCAAAGGGGCTGTCGGACCTGTGGAGTCCCTGTTCCTCCTTTGATTATGTCTTCTCATTCTTTCTCAAATTTTAATTTTAGTTCCATCCTAGAATGTTACAGAGCAGGCTGGAGAAATGGCGTAGAGGTTAAGAGCGTTCACTTCTATCACTACCGGCTTAAGTTCAGTTCCCAGCGGCCATGGCAGGCAGCTAGTGGTGGTCATCTGTAACTCATACCTTCAAGGTATCTGGTGGCCTCTGTCCTGCACACGGGTGCATGCACAAACATACACACATACATGTACTCAGGGCATCAGATTCCAGAGAGCTGGAGCTACAAGAAGTTGTGAGTTGCCCAGTGTGGGTACTGAAACCAAACTTGGGTTTCTGCAAGAGGAGTGCATACTTTTAACCACTGAGCCGTCTCTTCAACCTGGTGGAAATTCTTGACATGAACTGGACATGATGGTACATGCTTGTAATCCCAGTACTTGGAAAGTAGAGAAAAAGAGGATCTGGAGTTCAAGGCCAGCTTGGGCTACATAAGGCTGTGTCTTAGAAAACAAAAATAAAGTATTCACAGAAACTTCTGAAAGACAAGTTATATGTCTTTCAAAGGACATATGAAGGCAGTTTTGATGGTCCAATTTGCTAGGCATTTCCGACACCCGTCTGCCTTTACTGAGGAACCTGGGAAAGCTGTCTGCCCTTGGTCTCTGTTGAAACTATATCCGGCTATAAATTGCAGCTGCAGGATTTCTGGGGATTTATTTGCTTCTCTTTCGCCATGAATCTTGAAGTGATGGCAGCAACAGGGAAGGATGGCCCAAGACAGCTGCAGAGGTGCCATTCCCCCTTACCATCCGGGGACCAACATCAATCCCTGGTGATCTTCAGGCCTTTGGAATAAAATGAATTTTCTTATCACTCATTTATTCATTCACTTATTTATTTTGTGTAGCCCAGGCTGTCCTTGGACTCACAGAGGTCCTCCTGCCTCTGCCTCCCAAGTGTTGGGATTAAAGGTGGACGCCACCATGCCCAGCCAATCAGAATTTAAGGCTGTTTTAAAACAGCAAGGACAGAGGTTGGGGACCTTGTAATCACAGTCACTCAGTTTCAGGATGCCAGGGCTCTGCAGAGAGACCCTGTCATAAACAAACAAACAAAAACAAAACCCAGAAGTGCTAATGATGTCCCAAGTGGAAAGTGCACAAAATTTTCAGAAAACTGCATCACTGGAACTTCCTTCAGTCTTTGAACAAGGCACCGAGGCCGGGTGAATCTGTGTCATGTCCTTCCAGCATGGTGGACTGCAGGTCTCCCGTTCCTGCCACTTGGCTGTCTTCTTTGCTCCTTGGCAATGTGCCGGCCTTCCTTCCCTCAGGTGGCTTCCCTCCAGCCGATGCAGAAACCGTCTTAGTTTTCTTTTCATATTGCAGATATCTGGACTCAATCACTCTTCCTCCTTGTACTCTCCTTCTTTTTGTCTTGTGGGAACCAATGGCTGGGGATTTCCCTCAGGCCAATTTTCTGCCTTCCACTCAAAGGTGAGCTTCTCAGGGCCCACCGCCCGCTGGGAAGCAGGAGGACACATAGGATGGGAGGGTGTTCTCTGCATTGAGAGTGCCCGGTCATAAAATGAACTTTTAAAGTCTCTGTGATTGTTATCAGTAACCAAAAGTTAATCTGTCAAACCCCCCACCACCAAAGCTTTGACTTTGAAACTATAACCTACAAAAATAAATTGTTTTTCCTCATCGGTGTTTATGGTTCATTTCTAATTCTAGGTACTTAGACCTGGCCCCTATTTGTACTTGCTTCACTGAAGACTGAGAGGCATGAGCAGAGCTCAAACACTTTTTTTTGTTGTTGTTGTTATTTCTTTGTTTTTTTTTAGGACATGTCCTCAATGTATAGTCCTGGCTGGCTTGGAACTTACTGTTATATCACGCTGGCCTTGAACTCACAGAGATCTGTCCTCTTCGACCTCCAGACTGCTGAGATTAAATTGTGTGTGACACTACACCTGGTTTGAACTCAGAATTTTTCCAAAAGTCCTTGAGAGTTCAGATTTTAAATTCATGGAATCTAGTTTTTGCAAATTAGAGTTTGATAAGTTTTCATTCTGGACATGACTTTCTGTAATTTTATTTTATTTGAATTGATAACCAATTCAATGCCCACTGAATGAATGAGTAGATAAAATATAGTATTTATTATAAAGCACAGTGTAGAATTCAAAGAGACACAGCAAGACACTTGAATAGATTCGATATGAAGGAGGGCAAACAGAGATGAGAATCTGAGTGGTTATTAAGCATAGTGCTCCTGTTTATGTCTCTTGTACCTCCTCGGGTTCCCCCTTGCTGCCCACTTCCAGGTAGGTTTGTCACTCACCCTGGAAATATCACTTACTCCTCTGCTGTTAACGTACAGCCAGAGCAACTGTCTTAGGGCTTGATTGCCGTGAAGAGACACCATGACCATGGAGACTCTCTATAAAGGAAAACCTGTAATTGGGACTGGCTTACAGTGTCAGAGCTTTTGTTCATTATTATGGTGTGACATGGCAGCATGCTGGCAGACATGAAGCCGGAAAAGGAACTGAGAGTTCTGCATCAACTGACACACAGCAGCAGGAGAGACTAACACTGGCCACACTGGGTGTGACTTGAGCTTATATGAAATCTCACAGCCCCACCCCACAGTGACTCACTTCCTCTAACAAGGCCATGCCTCCTAATGGGCCAAGCTTTCAAACAGAGTCTATGGGAGTCATACCTATTCAGACCACCACACCAACTATCTGTGTTTGAAGAGTTCTGACTTTAGCAAATAACAAAGCAGAATAAAATCTGACATCCCTAGAGGCTGCTGCAAGGACTGTGTGTGTGTGTGTGGTGTGTGTGTGTGTGTGTGTCTGTGTCTGTGTCTGTGTTTCATAATGCATGTGGGGGGTCAGAGGACAACTTCAGTTCTTGATTTCCATCATGTGGGTCCTGGGAATTACTCAGATTTGGAGGCAAACACATTTACTTGCTGAGCCAACTTGGTTGGCCTAATCCTGTTGATTTTATCTTGAAATGTTTACATGGTCAGGGTGTGGTGTGCACACCTTTGATCCCATTACTCAGGAGGCAGAGACAGTTGGATATCCTTGAGTTTGAGGCCAGCCTGGTCTACAAAATGAGTTCCAGGACAGCCAGGGCTGTTTATAGAGAGGCCCTGTCTTCGAAACAAAAAATTGTACAAAACAAACAAAAAACATTTACATTGTATAAGAAAGGTAATAAGACAACGAATGGCCATAATGTTACTGTCCAGTTTGAGAAATAAAAATTTTTCAGCGTTTCCACTCTTGTGCTGTTGTTGATCAACAACAGTGTTTGATGGTTTGAAGCCTCTCATGAAAGTGTACAGCACTCTTGTATTTCTCTCATGACATATATGTGTTTCCATATGTGATGTCTTCCCCTGCCCCCAAGACAGGGTTTCTCTGGGTAACAGCCCTGGCTTTTTAAAGGCTTAAGAACCCTTGCTGTGGCCAGGTTTTGTGGCGCATGCCTTTAATCCCAGCACCAGGGAGGCAGATGCAGGTGGATCTCAGTGAGTTCTAGGTTAGCCAGGTCTATAAATTGAGTTCTAGGACAGGCTCCAAAAGCCACAGAGAAACCCTGTCTCGGGGAAAAAAAAAATTAAAAAAAAAAAAAAACAAAAACCCTTGCTGTGGAGGACTCAAGTTGGGTTCTCAGCGTCCAAGTCAGGTGATTCATAAAGGCCTATAACTTCAGCTCCAGGAGATGCAATACCATCTTCTGATCTCCATGGGCATCTGTACTTGCACTCGTGCACACGCGTGCGTACGTACACATACACACATACACACACACACACACACACACAAATTTAAAATAAAGTAAGTTTTTAAAATAAAAAAATTATAGAAAAAATTCAAATTAAGTTCACATTCCTCTAATTGGCATATAATTTGATTCAAACAAGATGCACACATTTTATTTGCATGATCTGTCTTAGGTCTTATTACATTATTTTTCCTTCCCCACTCCTACCCATATATATATGTGTTTTTCGAGACAGGTTTTCTCTGTGTAGCTTTGGAGCCTATCCTGGCACTCGCTCTGGAGACCAGGCTGGCCTCGAACTCACAGAGATCCGCCTGCCTCTGCCTCCCGAGTGCTGGGATTAAAGGCGTGCGCCACCAACGCCCGGCCCCACCCATATATTTGGTAAACCATTTTTTTTTTTTGTAGAATTTCCCACATTCTGAATTCTTTGTGCCAATGTCATTTGATGTACTCCTCTGTATTCTGTAAATTAGATCTGAAGTTCAGCTAGATTCAGTTTTGACTCCCCCCGCCCCCAAGAATCCTTAATAGGTCTCCAATACTTTGCTTGTCTTATGTCAAGACACGTAGTAGGGCAGATAGTCTTTTGGTGCACATGGAATTGTTGGAGGATGCTAGTGATTTAACCAGACTTTTGTGCGTGCTAGGCAAGTAGTCTCCCACTGAGCTTTACCCGAAGTTTGATACTACAAAGGTCTGTCCGATATTATGTTTGATCCTTCCCGCTTACTAAGGGCTCTTTTTCCTAACCCTGCCACATTTCAGTACGGAAGAGACGGGGAGCTCTCCAAAACAGCAGCGTAAAACAGTGTCCAGATCTGAGTACGAATGGTCATCCTGCTAAACGTAGCATCCGACTCTCTAGTCCGCATCGCTTTCTTGACTTGCAGCACTTCGTAGCACAGCTGCTACCACTCGGCTGGTTCTACTGCCATCCGGTGCAAGAATGCCGCCGAACTCAAATTCCCACACACTGCGATACCCGGGACAGGATTTGGCGCGGCGGGCCCTATGCCGGTCTCTCATTGGTCACCCGTGACGCCACTCACGCAGGCGTGGCTCTCTCTGTGACGTCTCAGGCAGCGAGTGGTCAGAATCCTGACAGGGAGGCGGGAGCGGAAGCAGGCAGTCAAAGGGCTCGGGTGGGCGGGGGGAAGTTGCTACAATGAGTCCCCTTCCGGCGCGAGGAACCGGAAGTTGTGGTCCGGCGGTGTC